AATAGGCCTCAATAATTATTTACTAAACTGTAATTAGTACTGATGATTAGAACCAGGTTGGATATGGGAACAAATACTGACCGATGGAAATCAATGCGAGTCGCGCTATATCGTGAATTAACAGGTGTATAAAATTACAGTTCACTAGATTCTGATCGAAAGGATGATTGGTAACTCGCTTACCACAAGATCTAGGTGTCCTAGACTTGATCTATCGTGAATCCCTGGCTGTACAACACTGAGGAGTCCCGTTCTAGGACGAAACAACCTTCTAGTGGCCGCAGGTTTTTAATGGTTCTCTAACTGATGTCAATCCGGGATGAATACTACCTTAAGAACAAGATCTTCATTAACTTCAAAATAAATTACTGTATAGTGATACACTTCCAGATGGATATACCGAAGTTCTAATGAGAAGCAGTGACCTTTGGGGTCAACCAGTTGGATATGAAGCGGATGCCAACTTAAGACCTTTTTGGATAGTCGCGGTATGTCACAAATTGACAGAAGTAGAAAACTGTGGACCACTGAAGTCCGACCCAGTCGTTGAATGGCAAACACGTTCGCTGTGAAACCTGAAAGTCTTGAGTTCGATCTCTGATGCGAAGAGGTTGTGGAAGCATACTGCTAGGGGGTCCCACGCTAGAATAAAACAGTTGTCAGGTGCTCTCAGGTTTCCAACGGTTCTTCAAGTGATACTACCTTAATGAATACTACCTTAAAAATGAAATCCTCACTAACCTCGAAACACATTAGTATAGTTAGTCTTAATTACCTTGTTTATATGTGATTATCTTTTATTTATTAGCAGTGTTTTCATGAAAATAACAATTGAAGATTGTCCAAACGACTCTAGAATCCATTACATTTTGTTCGTCCCTGACATATTCTCAATCAAGTCAATAATTATTGAAGTGTAACGAATAACTTAAGCATATTAGCTCACCAGTTATGTAAACATTCGTACACTAAGCTATGACTTACAACTATTACCTTGTAAAAGGCTTAACTACATCACTCTGTTGAAAGTTGTTTAATCGAACACCTGTGGGTGTGTTATAGCCTATGGTGAGATGTTGGATGAATTGATTACGTCGAGTGGTGGCCACCAAGTATGCCCACTCTGTTCATTCCCATTCAGTTTTATCATATATGTTCTTATGGGAGTCTCCTCCCCGACATCCAACTACACAGGGATTAACCTAACTACAGGGGAATTTTTAATTGACCTAGAATAGGTGGATGATATAGTCCTGTCAGGTGAAGACGCTGAAAAGATGCAAAATCTTCTGAACACTTTGAGTGTCAATTTGAGAATGCTTACGATGCGTTTCTCACCATCCAAATCCAAATTATTGCTCCAGGATTGGTTTCAACGCTGCCTTGGTTAACAATAAAGAGCGTAGTGGTTGAGCGCGCTGAACACTACTTACTTAGGAAGTCTGATGAGCCCTGGTGGTTCAGTGGCTGACGAAATCTCTGCACGGATTCAAAAGGCTCGATTGGCTTTTGCCAGCCTACGCCATCTGCGGCACCGATACGATATCTGATAGTCTGTTAAGGGTGCAGTATACTGTGCTGTAGTCCACTCTATTCTACTCTGTAGATGTGAAACATGGACACTGAATGTAGAAGACGTTAAAAGGCTTCAGGTGTTCGAACAACGTTGCCTCTTAGTATTGGCCACATTCCTGGTGTCACCACTTGAGTAACGCAGAAGTCAGGTGTAGAGTTTTAGGCACAAGAGGTAAGTCAGTTGAGATGGCTGCGAACCTGTATCGACTGAAATGGTTGGGACATGTATTATGTATGCCTAGATGCCATCTGCCTCACCACACAATGTTGGCTGAAGTAGGTTCAGGCTGGAGAAAGGCTCGTAACGGCCAGACTAAAACATGACATCAATGTATGAAGCCTTTGACTGTTGGTTTGAGCCATGTAGGGGGGGGGGTGATACAGACTAGGTGGTTGGGGTCCACGGATAAGAGAAACCAGTGGTTGGAGACTGACTCTAGGTGATATGTCTGTGAACCGATGTCAGTGGCGGAGATGTATACACACATTATCCTCATATTAACTATGGTTTACCGAATCTCATTATTTTTCATTCCTCCTTCCTCTCTTTTCACACTTTATATTTTTTGACTGAATTTTCTTTTCCTCTTCATCTTCCACTTCACTGCCTTTTTACTTGATGTAGTGATATGAGCTGTAGCAATTCGAACGGTTACGCAGTAATGCCTGGTCCTATTTTGATCTGGATGGATAGAGGAATGGAAATACTGGGAAACGATGCATATATCCATAGTGTTACCAAGAGTAGACTACCAAAACGTTGACCCAAATTATCGTATTTGTTATCTAACAAGCAAGTATGTACAGATAATCGCCTTTAATAAAACACCAGTAACTGGTGCAAAAGAGTTCTGATATGCTCAACAGTAACAGAAGGATGAAAATCTGTAGCATCAGAGGTCCAATAATAATGCACATATAAATTAGAGATGTGAGAAACAATCATTAAAACACCAATATTCAAGATGAAGTCCTATCAAACGATTTCAAATACACTCATTTTAAAAATCAGTTGATATTTCTCCGTATTATTCCAAACATGAGGACACAAAAGCTACAAACACCTTTGTAAAATCAGTAAGCAGAAAAATAGCATAGACAAAACAACTCGGCACATGAAAGAATAAAGTGACATAATGAAAGATAAGGTAACACAAATCATGTGATCAAAATTCACAGGAAGCCAACATATAAATAAAGAATGGTCGAAGCAACAACGACATGTGTTATTAAGGTTGAGAATGATGTAGAGTAGCAAATTATCCATGGTGCTAATATCGATTCCGAGTCAGTTAACTGAGCGTCTCCTGACATTGGTTTCCCTTGCCCTGCATGGCACTATCTGGAGGTCGACTCATCTTTTACACGGCTTAAAACAACACAGAAACTTCATGGATTGGTGTTGTGTTTTGATTTAGCTTTTGTTAGGCTTCTCTGCTATTCCCAGTGCATGTAATAGCCACCTCAGCCAATGAAAGTCAACAACTTGACTAACTAGAATACCTCTTTGTCTCGAAACTCTTACACACTTCTACATCATTTACTGACCCTGTCCAACCACACTGAAACGTGACGGTGGTTGAATATCTGGAATTTTCGTATAGTCACCACTTTTAGTATCCAGGTGCCAGCGCTTTATATTGGGACAACGTGAGCACCACCTTGGAGTCTTGATATTCCTCCATGTACCATGTTGGTGCCACAATTGATATGGAGTAACAAAGATCAATCAAGCTTTCCACATCTGTATCAAGATTTCATCGTGTTTAGTGTATCTTACCACATAAGTGAGGTGGCCAACCACTTCACATGGATACCAGTCATGATGAAGTGGTGAGCACTTGTGACAGGAGATAGATTGGTATTCGAGAAATTGAAGAAGGGAAGGGTTAGTAATAATATTTGAAACAATAATTGAAATTCGTATCCTCCAACCACATCTGAGAATGAATTATATTCACTTTACATCTGCCTACTTAACATAAATCTAACTACAAGCAAATACCATCATGAAGAAAGCTCGACTGGTTATTCTATGGCAAAAGCCGCACAAATGTTTCACAAGCGAAAAAACCCAAGAAATGACAAGTCGTAAACAAATACCTGACAGTCCAAAATATGCTGGTAAGGCTTCTTTCCTAGCTTGTCAGATACTGAATAGAATGACGACAGTAAACTTCTTTTGATATGCACTCTAGGTGATCCATTACCATCAGCTTTTGTCTGCCACCAAAACTCACTACTCTTCACTAGATTCCTGTGAATATGCGAACCATTCACTAGATCTACGCTAGTATATGGACTATTTGGGCATAGCGTGACGTCAGGATAGTCAAAATCAATATTACCGTGCTTAATTTCCGTGAGTACTGGACAGCTGATATACTGACGGTAAAGATGAGCAGCGTGAGACAAGAAAGCAGCAGTCATAAGCGTTACCACAACTGAGTAGTATATCCTTAAGACTCCTTTTGTTGTAGTTATATGAATAGGTCCATGAAGTGTTGTAGTCTCAGCGAAATCTAACCACGTTGGCCATCGACGTCGACGAATTAACTCCTTATACTTGCAAACCTCAGTTTCAGCCTGTCTTTCCTTTTCAATTTCGTTTAATTGCCATATTTCTAGCTCTTCAAAGCTTTCACAACGCTTAGCCATCTTGACATCAACGTACCCAGTCTCCACGTTACCTTCAGTTATCGATCGATAAACTAAAATTCAAATAAGTTATATTATTACCACTTCCACCTAATTCAACTTGGCAGGAATAAAACATAGAATGGCTCATCTTTGGCTCCCAGGTGCTAACAGACACTACTACAGCGCAGCCGTATACCAACTGTAATGCACATGTACTGAGTACTCTGAATTATATGGACGACAGCAACAGAATGACCTGCTTTAATGTCTTGAATGGATCAACAGTTCACACATAGCAGACTCAGCATAGTATTCTTAATTCGTGCTTCAATATTACGCATCACCTGAAAGTTACTAGACCCTACCACCCGTCCCAGAGCAACAATCGCGTATGCTGTGACTATGAAGATAAGTTAAATCCCCAGAACGCGTACGTTGCATACGATTATTTCTTAATGAATGGGCACACCAACCTAGCTACCCGTTTTAGTTTACAATCTGTAAAACACCTATTACTCCAGGTCGTATACCTGGAACTCAATCACGACGCATACTGCTGATCTTAAGTTAGTTCTTGACGTTCGCAGAAGACTGAATGAAAGCAAGCTGAATTATGCGATTAGAATGTATATGAGAAAATTATGTACAATATATCCACTGTCCATTAGTTTTCTGCCTTGAATTTTTTCGGTTTTGGTTGACCGTCCTCCGCCTTCATCCCACGTTTCATACCGGATAATCTTGGGTTGAACTGACAAGGTAATAAGAAATAGAACAGAACTTACCGTTCCGGCTTCCAACTGTCGAAGTCGGTTTTCCAGGTACGCTCGGGCTCTGATACCCATTTCCGTGTCAGCTCCTTCTTCGCCAAGTGCGTCCAAACGAGCGGACAGCGATGTCTTCGCAGCCAACATTCGGGACATCTTGCCTTTGAACTGTACATCCGACTGCGTCACTAAACTGGCATGGTACAACAAGCCGTATTTTGGTGTGTTATGACGTGTCTTTAGTGCTCGAAACAATGCCTTTTCTGCTCCCAGTATTTGAACTGTTGATGCTGGGTGTTTCGCTAAGTTGACAAGGGTTCCAGCACGAGCTATGAGTCTAGCCCCAAGAAGTTCACCGACGAGTGCAGTCAGATTAGGAGCTACTGCTACCATACGCTTGACAAGGTAATCATGAAGTTGTGCCCGAGAAGTAGAAGCCTCCAATACCTGGTCACACAGTTCATTGATCATCGTGATGTCTTCATCTATAACTTCCGTACCAAGGGAGACTATAGACGCCTCCCGTATCTCGCTAGCTACCTCTTCAGGGACTAGATCAGACAAATCTACATTTGAATTGACTCTGTGGCCTGTCTATAATTTAATCAAATGTAGTCACTTACCAATTCGCTTGACAACTTTAACATATGTTATGTTATCCAACACGATTTTTGATAGTTCGGGAAAATGCCAACCGTACATTTCTTTGGCACGCATAATATAGTTATTAATTTCTTTGTCCAACTCATCCATAAGGCCTAATAGGGGTCAAAATGTAACAAGCACAATTACCAACTGCTTGAACTATCATGGTGTCAATCTTGTCCGGGTTACATTTTAGCTTGTAGCGGTCAAGACTGTGAGCCAACCCTAAACGCATCCTCATCATGTGACCGTCTTCAACAAGTGGAGCAGGCTATCCAGGTGACAACGGATACCCCTCATGAGGTTTTGTACGAGGGAGTCACTAACTGTTGGTATGCTCATCTTCGTCTAAAACTACATCAAACAGAATACCACCACTTACATTTATGTCGACTGACAACTTTTTGTCAGCTACTGCAAGCACATCGTCCCTGAGTTCCTTAACGTACAACTTCTTAAGAAGTTTCTTCAATTTTTTGGAAAGTTTCCCTTCTAAGATATCTGATGCAGCTGTAAAAGTAAATTGTAAATCAAATTATTCCAATCAGTAGGTGCATCGCACACGAAAATCGAACAAAAATCAGTTGGTAGATTGTCAGTCATATTGTAATATGAGACTCTAGTCCACCATTCTCATCATCATACTTATCACCAAAACTTACCTACCAAAGCATCTTTAGTGTCCTTGAATTGCACGAATCGCTCTAGTTGGATCCTTACTGTGGCATAGAGAAATGTTAGAAAGACCTACAGCTGATTCATAGTGGCTGTGTCTTCAAACGCTTTGGCCAAGTCGTCAATCTCACGAACACCTTTTTCATCATGTACCTTAAACACTGCATAACCTGCGGCAGTCTCGAATAGAACCAACATAGTCACGTTAGTTAGTTAAACCAACCACCCTTTACACCGTCCACTAAAACAAAACCTTATGACTGGTCCATGCCTCCAAATATCTAACAATGGGTTGGATAAGCTATTCTCAGCCAGCTCTCAAGTTAAGTACTACTGTATCGCTAGCTACTCTGCTCATGAGTGTATCCGCAGGAAAAGGAAGGTGAAATCAGGTACTGATTAACTAGTTTGGGCGAAGATTTATTTCCAGGTGTCAAAGGTTCCCATTGCGAAAATCGCAACAAGACATGTAAGCGAACAGTATCACATCACTTAGCCTCACTGCCCTTTCTATGCTTAGACTCACCGTGTCAGTTTGTCTGAACATTATCATTGTCCTTTATACCATCACTAACTTTATTACTTTAAAGTACACAGTCCACATCTTTATTATCGTTGATTCACAAATTCCTTTGACTAGCTGGGATTTTATAAATGTTGGAAGCTGTGCATATTAGAAAGAAACCTGACGGTTTACTTTTTGAACTTCGAGTCCAGGACTTTCCCTAGGTTTCCCACGATGCAATGGAATTCCAATTTATCCTCCCAGAAAATGTTGCTGAACCACAATTGTTGATTATATCCGGATTTTGCGTTTCAGACCTCTGTACATACGGACTAGTTCACATTGTTTCGGTGACTATATGGCCGACCGGATGAGGGAAGATGTTGAGATTAAAAGGTCACAATCGAAAAGAAAGTCTATTTCCAGAAACGCTACCAGTTGTTTCCCAAAGACAGTGCTCTACTTTCGTTTTGTTTAGTTATAACTTGTATCGACAAAGACAGATCTAAGAGGCTTTGGCAGCTCCTGGAAGAGCAATACTTACATGAAAAATCCACTAGCGCATACGACCCTACCTATCCCTAAACTCTGAAGCGTATAGGGATCATTTATCAGTTTTTTTATAGCACAAGATCTGCCGCTGCTATTTTGGATTAAAGGAGGCCACGAAAGCCATCTCAATCCATTTTGATGATTGACTTGATCACTTCAGCTGTTGCTTTGTATATCGCTCGGAGATTATCGAGTGTAACTAATGGTGTTGGACAGCAGTAATTATTTTACCAAGTTACCAGCAATTTTACAGAGCATAAAGAGGCCAGATGAACATGCCTTGAATCGATACCGTATTTAACAGACAAAAGTGGTGCTAAAACTTGATTAGATGGCCAGTGGCTCTGACCTTTCCACTGAATTTAGAGCAGGGGTGGTGGTGAAGGGCGGAATTACGTTTGAAGGAATTGCTATCTTTAATTTGTAGATTGCATGACAAGCGATGGTTGAGGCGCAAATTAAGTTCATGGATAGTTGGTCCCATATGACAAACCATTCTAGTCCTTAGCTGTGGTATTTTATTGTTGGTCGGCATTGGGTGCTTCGAACTCATTATCTGGCATTTGACGGATAAACCTTATGGAGAACTCACAATCTTCGTTTTGGCTTTGACTTCGGATTTTTATTAGACATTTCAGTCGTCTCATTTTAGTATCATAGTTCATCACCTGTCAAGCTAAGGTGATGTCCTTGCCAAGGTAAGAGCAAAGCAGTACTAGGCCGCTCCCCCCTGGATGCTGCATCTTGCTGGGAGGACCGAAGTATGGTTGCTGGAGATTTTTGTCACAGAAACTCCCGAAGATGTTTCGTAGATTGGTACATGTGCTGTTTGTGATGGTGGACATAAGCTTCATGATTGCCCGTTTCGGAAAGACTAGAAGTATCAGGAGAAAACAACTTCCTTTTATGTTCGAAGAGCAAATTGTGGGCCAGGTTCGTAAGTTAGATGCCAATGGTGATGGCATTTAGCCAGTCAGAGGGGACCCTGTTTGGACAGGGAAAAGGGCAGGATCGCTTAAGCAAGCATTTATAGGGTGCAGAGGCCACGTTATTTCCAAAAGGTACATTCGGGAGAAAATTCTATGGAAGTAGGCGGGTTCGAATCGCGAGTTGATGCTCATGTTCTGTTGGACTGCGGTTTTAATGTTAGTCACGTTAATGCTAGCCTGGCCTGGCCCAACGCATACCTTATTGGCTGGTTTGTTATCTCTTCAACTTTTGAGATGGCGAAAGGGCGGAGCCCCGAGTGATATCTTGGACAACTCAGGATGCTACGTCGGCGAAAAGCCCGTGTGATGAGGCTTGCTTAAGCCCCAACCTATTATGAGATGGCTGCAAACAAATCTCACTCACGTGGTGCACTTTGACAAGGCCAAATGATCAGGAAGGAAAGTCGTTGATTGCTATATGCTGTTTGTGATGTGCTATTTGACCATAGAATCTGGGAGGAGCAGCAGTGGAGTGAAATGGATTTATGCGCTGCCAAGAAGCCACCTGCATATGCAGTCAGCCAACTTGCTCACTGAATCAATTGATGATTCATGAATCAACGGTATAAAAAAGACAAAAATGTGCCTAAGTGAAAACGCAGAGACATCAACGACAGACTGGACACCTTATCTTTCGAAGATACTGGGGGATTTAAGATGGTGTTGCAATGCACAGTGATACGGTGTTATTTTCGAGGTGCCGTCTTGGATAGAATTCACTGCTCACAATCACGTTATGTGAATGGGGCAATAATTCCGCTGACAGAGCGACAGAACAAATAATGCTATGCTGTAAGAACAACCCCATCTAGAATTATACGCTACCACAGTGCCCAAGTTTCACTCCAAACCATCCTCTTCCTTCCCACTGATCCAAAGCGAAGTAGATTGAAAAGCCACCTCATACCTCATTACATTGGGTCACCATAATCAGAAATCCGTTTCGATAGCTAACAGTGACGGATTAAGACTAATCTTTTGACCCGTCCTTATCTCACCAGTGAGTAGTTGACATGGGAAACATATTGGCGTTATAAGAAAGGATAGAAAAACAGAATAGTTCTAGGACTTCGTACCTTCGACGACCACTATACAAATCGTATTTCGTGCTGAATATTTTACAGCTGATGAAGAAGGAGGAGAAAGGGATGTTATTCAATTAGATTGGGGCCGCCTATACTCATTTTGAGTGCAGATATGTACCTGATGAATCATGTGCGAAATAACATTAAATTTTAACGGTACAACTTTGACGACCGCAATGCAGTAAATTCATTTCGCAACCCCATAACCACTGGTTGGTCAACTCCACTCACATAAACACGTTGGCTGACGTAATTTTTGAAGGAAGTTCGAGTTGAGTAGCCTCAAACGCGCATCAACAGGTTAGGGTGACGAACATTACACAAGAACTACCTAGGAACGAAGATCATGAGAACCAACCTAGTTTACAGTCACGCTCAAAATAACATACACTGTCTATTTTCACAACCTCATCTACACCATTCCATGAATTTGATCAGCGCAATGCGAACATGCCAACAACCGGCGTTATATTTCCTGGCATTCTCTTTAGCTGCTGACAGGCTGTTGATTATTAACCAGCGAGACGAACAAAGCCTAACGTACCCCAGCATTTGGAATGTGCAGTCTGTTAGAAGGAACCAAGAAGGGTCGAAGTATGAGGCCGAAATGAAATGGTTGGTCACTGAGATGTCCCAAAGGGGGCTAGCAGAGTAGGTCTGGGATTACAGAGATGACCGGTCAAAAGAGTTGCCAAGGGGATGGTCATAAGCGTAGCGTACGATAGCGAAACGGTGTACTTGAATAAAACCCAACTAGTCTGTTGCCGAGACCAAGATAGAAAAACTGGAAGGTGAAAGACAGAATGATGAGCTCTAGGTTTCTCACCAGGGTCTTTGTATGTTAGACACTGAATTACATCTCACCCCACCTGAAACCGCATCTACCAATTCAGGTGTACTTGCTAAAGTAGTGCATAGAGAATAGGATGGCCAACAGCTAGACACCTACCAGCTTCTTCTCAAGGATTCCGAGAAAACTGTGTTCTGAAGGGATGAGTGAGGTCAATACCTCGACTGTTTTTCACCAACTGAACACAGCATATGACCTAGGCACCGAAAAACATTAGACAGCTCCGGCTGCACTTTGCCTCCTTTCATGGGAGCTATCTCAATTAATAGGTTGGATTCTGGTCTGTGTACTCAAAAGGATTCATCGGTTAACCCACGATTGCCTTGGTGAGAATCTTAGAGGACTTTGAATCAGACAGTAAGTTTTATAAAGTTGGACGGTGTACTTAGAACACAATTTTCATCTGAATAGTTTAATGCATCTAGGCAATCCCACGGCACATTTACTGCCAATGCCGATTCATGTAAAATTGAAAAATGGATGGCGAAAAAAACAGTTGTTGCAGTAGACTAAAATTAGGAAAGATATTGAAGAAAGAATAACACATTACACTCGAATCTTGGTAACGAGCGAAAGTTCCGCAGAACAGAAGTAATGAGAAGAGAAGTTCTTATGCACGCACGAATGTGGCTTCAATTCGCCGACGATTATTGGTTCTACAGATTTCAGTATCCCCCCTGATTGCTTTGTTGCCATCGTTAGTTAACTACTGGTAGTCTGTTGTCAGCGGAAGAAACTACACCAAAATACAGTGTGAACTGCATATGTTATTTTTCTGAAGCCACCTAAGATCCCAAAGCTACCAAGGTTCATGAGATATGAGGAATATTCACTCACAGGGTGAAGCAGGCCCTGATGCTACTTTTCACCTTCGTGAATTCTTTGATGTATTAGAAGAATGCTTCACGCTCCCCTCAAAGCACTGACGTCTGCTGGCAGGCGGATAGTGATATTGGGAAGACAAACCAATATGCCGCATGGACTTATTGAACATGGACCCCATCCTGCCACTCTGGCGGACTTCTGCACTTACATTAACGGTGGCGAATTCCTGTCTGCAGCACGGCTGTCATTTCGTCATTGTCTTTTCGTGGATGTTTGGAAAAGGTGTGCCGCAAATGGCATGGTGACAGTTATGCCCCTTGACAGTCTTAACTAAGGGTTCACGGTGTACCCAGGATTGTGATTTAAGTATAAGAAAGCGGTTAGTTGTAACAGGATGTGTAGATGCGGGGCTGAAAGGTGGTACTTC